TTTTAGGATTGGATGATATTAATTACACAGTATCAAATCCTGTAATGTTTATGGGAAAGGCATGAACCTAACAAATCCTGTCTCTACTACAGTAATACTTATTTCTGAATCAATATTCACAAAGAAGCAAAACTCAATTTAAAATCTAATTAGAGGTACAAAGAAAAATAGCTTCATTCTTTCTAGAATGTGGTTTTGGTGTGGGGTGAGTATCTTGTTCCTTTTAACAAATGAAGAAGCCTGTCCTGTAAATGCTTTAATATTCTGAAAGCCATTAAAATAGATTGATAATGATAGCAAAAGTCAGCAGCCTGAGAAACCTTTTATCAGTTGAGCTCATTTGAGAGTGTAATTTTATCCTGTGGGATGATTAAGATGGTTGAAATATAATATTCAGTCTATATCTTGATTATCTGATAATAAAAGTGTCATGGAATAATGTCATGTAACACTGTTATTAAAAATGGCAATATGTTCCAGTTAATTCTCTCAAGAGTCATAGACATTTTCCAGTATTTCAATATAACTTATTGGTATTGTCTTTAATACAGGCAGAGAAATGGAAGATTGTAATATTTGGAGATGAAGAAAGGCTACACAATGAGAACCAAATATTCTCTTCTCTTTGGAACGTATTGCAACTGGTTTCCAAGATGGAAGAAAATTCCCATGACAAGGCAGTCTGTCTGAAGACTTGAAAGGCAATGTGTAAAACATTACAACTAAATATGTGATGACACAAATTATCTGGTCCACTCATAAAAATAAAAAATAATAACAAAAGAATTTTTTTTAACAATCTTTGTAGATTAGCATTCATTAGACTAGTGATCCCTCTGGTGGTGGTGGAAAGATCCAGAGGGCTGTTAAAAAAAAATATAGGCAGCCAAAGAGCGGCACATTGGAATGATAACATACCTTGCACACCCACATTGTAGCTGAAGTATATCTTGTCTTCCCTTTATAGCGTATTCCATTTATATAAGAATTATCATGGGAAATATGAAGATAATCATTTGATATGAAATACTAGCATCAAGAAAATCAAGTCAAAGCTTGACTATACATTTGGGGGGGTGGGTAGTATTGTGTTTTGGTTTACAAAGGGGTGGCAATCCCAAAACATTTGGGAACCACTGCATTAGACTTTCTTCTACCCACAACATTTATCAGCATCAAAATATATTGTATATTTTTTTCATTTCAGTCATGCTCACAATATAAATACAGTGTCAAATCAGTCCCTGACTTCATAAAGAGTTATCTGTGCATTATTGTTATTTACAAATATCAAATTTGAAACTGTGTTTACCTCACTGATATCATTTTTCCAAATTTGTAATAGTACGCAAATCTCGGCGAATAACATGATTAAATTTTGCCACTCAACCATTTTTGTTTGCTTCATAATATTACCGCTTTTTACACAATATCAGAGCGCAAAACATATATATATATATATATATAATCATTTCACCCCAAGCAAGGCAACAAAGCCACTAACATGCAGAGGGGTACTGAGTGTGAAGAAAAACATTAAGGGATGACAAGAATAAAAGGACAGAATTGAAGAAGACTTAAGATAACGATTGACATTACATTTAAATTTTTGAAGATCAATCTTGACTGGAAATCAAGAAACCTGAAGAAAGTTCCACAAGTGAGAAATGTAAGGATAAAAATTATTAGCATAGAACTTATGCTTACATCTAGCCATTTTGAATTTTAAAATGATGAGATCTTGCCACCAATCTCATAATTCATAGAGTCTATATACCATAGAGCAGAGTTCATCTGAATATTTACCATGAAAACGTTTATAGAAAAGGTGCAGGGAGGCTACATTATGGATAATTATGCTCTGTTTATAATAAACAGTATTAACAACATTTGCCGACTTGAATGTCGAGAAATGACAATTTTCTGTGACAATTTCTCAGACATTCAGGCCGGTAAATGTTGTTAATACTGTTTATTATAAACAGAACATTTACTTAAATATTTGTATCTATAAAAAAAGAATGTATAAACATAAAAAATCTCTTAAAATAATTGTCGGACATTGTCCATTTCATAATGTGTGACATCATTTGTTTACATTTGGATATGCATCAAGCAGATATGAATGTACGAGAGAAAATCATGGAAAATTGTAGTTTAAAAACAGTAAAATTGACCTTACTAACCGAAACGCTCCTCTGTGGTGAAATCGGTAAAAGCACGTCAGGCTATATGACAGTTCCGTATAAAATAGAGGTTTGATTCCTGTCGGAGGATGCATATTTTCTATGGCAATTTCTTGGACATTCAGGCCGGTAAATTTTGATAATATTGTTTATTATAAACAGAGCATTTACTTATATATTTGTATCTATAAAAAAAATGTATAAACATAAAAATGTCTTAAAAATATGTTTGTATGTATGTATGTATGTATGTATATATATATATATATATATATATATATATATAAAAGGCTAATGGTCACAGTTGAATTGGACCAGGAACCAGTATTATTAAAAAATGCTGAATACACATGTAAAAAAAATAAAAATAAAGAATAACCTGGAAAGCTGTTAACTTAAAAAATTAGGATGATCAGGTGATATTTATCAATTGGCCTCCCAACACTTAATTTTCTTTTAAAAAAAGTGTGTACATAATTACCCCCCACTGATAAATTTATAATACCCTTACTTTTCTCCTCCTCCTTCCTCTTCTTCTTCTCTTTCTGCATTCTTTTCCTCCGTTTCTGTCACCCCGCAATGCCATACATTTGTTTATTTATTTTTAAAAATAATATAGCATTCATTGTGTTTTTTAAAAATAAATTGTTGGGAAGCCAATTGCTAAAAATTGCCTGAGTATACGGTAATGTGGAAACCAATGTAGTGAAAGTATAGACAAGTGAACACATTCACAATTCAGGAAAATTCTTGTTGAAAATACATCTATACTTTTTCATGAAAATAATAAACATAAACTAAAAATTCTTGAAGTTATCTATATTAAAAAATTGAAACCAACTCTTAATAAAATTAATTATGAATACTGCACAAATGTTTTAAACTGTTTACAGTACATATTTTAAAATATCTAGGTTTTAACTAATAGATTTTTTTCTTTTTTAAAAATATTTAGACATTACAATAACTTAGTTACCTCCCTTGATGTTTGCACATGTGACAGTACATAACCTTAGCGTTTTTCACTTCACACAACAATTTTTTTCTTAGAAAAAACAAAATCCAGATGACAGCATTGTACTAATGTCAAAAGTACTCAGAATAAAATTAATATGCATCAACATAGTAATTTTCTTTCTTCCTTTAATAAGGATACTTGTCTGTAATTTCAAGAGGATCCTATTAAAAATAAGTAGACAAAACTTGTCTAAATTGTTATTATTTAATGAAAACATATGCCAATATATATATATATATATATATATATATATATATATATATATATATATATAGTCACTCACTGACAGACTGTTTTGTTGTATCACAGCTCATTAATGTGGCTAGATCTCTGGTTGCCTCTAGTTAAGATCAAAACCTGGCTGAACTGGTGTCAGTTGGAGAATCTCCCCCTAAGCTGTTGGTGCATAGCAGTGATGAAGGTGAATTTAAGTGCATTTATTTTTAGATAAACACACCAGTGACTGAGAGAACACAATTCGTTTTTTTATTGAAGAGTATTGCATTAGTAGCATTAGTATTCACTGTTTACAAACTCACACTTTCTTCCCTAAGAGCACAACCAAAATAATTTTTCAGGAGCAATTGAAATAGTATATATATTAAAACAATATATATATATATATATATTAATCAATTTGTCTGACGATCGCTAAAGCGTGAAACCCAGGGTCACAAACTCACATCTATCCAACCAAATATATATATATATATATATATATATATATATATATACTGTTTTAAAAATGCTGGAGAAGATTCTTTTTCTTTAAAAGGAACCTTTTCTGTCCAACACCAACACTTATTCAGAAAGATTTGTTGAAAAAAAAAAAAATAATCAGAAGTGATCAAACTGAAAAAGTGCATGTAAATAACCCTCCTAGTGAGTACAAAAATATAAAAATCTTTGTACTCATGACTCCCCGCCCTTCCCATGACACACTGAGAACGAATAAAGTTCTCCTCCTATCTGCACAAATTTGGAGCTTATTTACATCAATTTATTGTTTATTTTAGTCATGGCTCCTTATTTAGCCCTCCAACCCCCACACCCTTGCATTGTGTTGGACAAAAAAGGTTCCTTTTAAAGGAAAAGAATGCCCTCTATCATTTTAAAAATAATATACAAATTCTGTGGTATAAAATTTTTGTTTAAATATATACACTACAGTTCCAAAGTTTTGGGCAACCCATGGTAATGTTTTAAATTGGTCCAAAAAGTAGTTGTTTTTGTACTTTAGAGAAGAGAAAATTAAAAAAAATGTGGGACATGATTTTGTTATTAGAAATTTTATTATGACAAAAAGAATAACATTTTATGATTAACTTTTGCTCTCGTCAAAATATCATCCTTTACCCTTGATGACTGCAGCAAAAATTTTTGGCATTCATTGCAAAAGTTTCTCAAAGTATAAGTTTGATAATTGATTCCATTCTTTTTTCAATTTCTCTAAGAGTGCTTTTTCATTTATTTTTTCACTCTTTTGTCAAGTTCATCCCATGCTAATTCTGGAGGTGGCTTCAAACTTTTGAACAGTATTATGTATGTGTGTATATATATATATATATATATATATATATATATATATATATATATATTCTTCCATATATATATATATATATATTGTCCATTTATCACTAACCGAATGCAATATATTTTTTTGTTAGCCAAGCAACAGATCAAATAGAAAAACCCTAACCCTACTGAATAAATAATTCTTTTTCAGGATTTGATGATTTTATTTGTCTTTTGTTAATGAATATATATATATCTCTAATATACTTTTGTTTCTTTAGTCTTATGGCAGAAAAATCAGAAGGTACTTACATTGCGGAAGTATCTGTGGTCGAAATCTACAATAACGACATTCGAGATTTGTTGAGCAAGGACTGCACTCTAAAACATGATTTAGTTACAAATCCTGATGGTTCCCTGAGTCTGCCAACTGTAAGATTCAAGTAAGTGATCTTTACAGTGTTATCAGTTGCTACTAGTATTTACTGTTATTAAAATAATAGAAGGTAAGGGTGAAAAGAAAGGATTACCTATTTAAGAAGACAGAATACATCAGTGTCAACAAAAGGGGCAGGTCAATGTAGGAACTACATACTGGGAACAGAAAATCAAGTGGATACAGAAATTTATTTATCTGAGTTGTGCAGTAACAAATAACAGAAAGTGTGACAAAGAAATTCAAAATGTGTGCAGGAATTTCAATAGATGTGTTGCAGAAATTAAGCAAATTATTAAGAGAGAGGAAAATTCCTCAGAAACAAAGAAAATAATCCTGAACTGCTATGTAATCTCCAATTTTCTATATGATACTACATGCTGGACAGTCTTCTCACAGATGGAAAAGGAGACTTGAAGAGATCTGGATATGGTTTTATGGATGGACTAGCAGCATGGCTCGGCATTGCCTGTGCTTGATTCAAAAATTGTACGACTCATACAGCAATCGCTATCACTTGACTTAAAATATTTTTGCCCTTCCTTGCCTTTAAAGGAGTGCCCTTTGCCATGCTGATGTTGCTATATGCCTTACTTCTTGCCTATCTCACCCTGCAAATTTTTTCTAAGCTCTATACTAAACATTAAATCTGTTATGAAAAAAGAACTAAACAAAATGAACACAAAACAATCATCTTTAAAAAAGACTTGTAACTGGAAAAACTGAATGAAGAAAGAATGTTAACAATACTTTTTCACCCCCAACCCAGTTCTGTGGAATCAGAATCAACGTTGAGTTTAAGCAAGTGAATGAGCCAACTGGAGTAAAGTGCCATGCAGATTTAAATTTTTCCCACTTGTGACGAATGCAGCTATCGATTTTTTTTGCATGCTAGCATGCTAGTTAACATTCGTGTCAGTCAACTGTTGGGAGTTGTCAGTCTTGGCCTTCCCACTAACTTGGAGCACGTGCATGTAAATTTTGGTGCAAATCTGTCAAAAATTGCAGCTGTGCATTAGTTACACACACACACACACATATACATACATCCTGCCTTTTATAGATAGAGATTCACATTGTAGGTATGACAATATATTCCATCTGGCAGCAAGTCCTCTGATTGGGAGGTTTTGAGAAGCATGGAACCACCTTTTAATTGCTGTTGTTCCCAGATCCACCCTCACCTGTTAGGGTCCCAGCTTCAGTCAAAATGCTTTGAAAATATAAAAATACTGGCAATACATTTTCATAGTAAAAGAATAACCAGCAATATACAGGGTGTCCATAAAGTTCGTGTGAACTTTAAAAAAAATGCATAACTTTATCTGTAAAAATTGTTATAAAGTTTAATGTACCTAGTTTTAAGTATAGCTAAAATAACTAATGTGATTTCAGGCATTACTGTAAATCAGTTGACAAATGTTTTCCGTGAACTGCAAAATCGTATTACCCTTTGTATTGCTAATGATGGAGGACATGTGGAAACTTAAATAAAATTTCAATAAAACCTTAAAAATATAGATTTACTTCTTTCTAATCCTTTTTACAAATTATTTCTATCATAAATATTTCTATCGTAAAGTTACAATTCTTTAAAGTGCACACAAACTTTATGGACATCCTGTATTTTTGAAAGAAAATATTTATCAGCAATAAATTTTTGAAAAAAAAATAATACGATCAACACATTAAAATTAAATTTCAACATTAAATGACCCATAAGCAGTTGATATGCCACTAAACAAACAAATGGATGAATGTCTTTAGAAACAAAGAAAAGAATACTGAAATATTATGCAATATATAATCTTCTCTATGTCAGTAAATGTTGGACAATCTCTTCATAGATGAAGAAGGGACTCAAAGGCAACATAGATCTGGTTCTATCAATGAATGTCTTTGGAAACAAAGAAAAGAATGCTGAAATATTATGCAATATATAATCTTCTATTTGGTGCCATTTCTTCTCTCTTCTTCATATCTTTGAATCATTTTTGTGTTTGTTGGCTCTTTTCTGACCTCACTAATGTCATGTCAGTTCACATCCCATATTTCTCAAACAGCTGCGAGAATGTTTGAAACCTCCTCTTCACCAACATTTCTCCTGCTGCCTTGGTGTTCACTTTTGCTTTGCTGGTCAAGCTGTTCTTAATTCAATGATATGTGTACAAGGAGTCAGTTTTCAGATGGAGCACTTTTGCTGGTCATTGAAGAGACAGATTGAGTTCTTTTTCGTACCATATCAAACTTTGCCAATTGCTGGGAGCCATTGTCTGAATGCAACCAGCATGCATCCTCAATCACCACTCTGTTTTCTTCAAGCAATATCCCAGTCGCAAGGACGCTCATATCGACCCACAAATCCATTTCCTGTCTGATAATACACTATTCTCCCTTCACAGGAATGTTTTGTTTCACCCTGGCAATTGTTTCTTGTTTCATCGTCTTCAAAGGAGCATCACTCAGCTCATTATCCCAGTCATGGGAAATCAAGTTTGCCAGCCATTTGATGAATCCAGTGGTTACTCAGAGCCAATTACAGATGGCAAAGTGTTCAACTGGTCCCACATTCTCAAATTCAAATTTGAGGAGCTACAAAGCAGACATAGCTTGTAGTAGATAGTTGCAACAAAACCAGTCTTGAACAAGTCAAAGTCCTGGAGTTGAATCCTTGCTTGTCTGTGTGGCTCACCTTTTATTCCGGTCTTTGAACATGCATGCAAATAGTTTTAAAAGAGCCAGAACCACACGTGCTTTGACTAAATTGCAAATGGCAGCTTGGATCAGGCAGACAAGACATCATGGCCTCTGACAATTTCTTGGTCTTATTTCACTGCATAATGCTTATCATTTTACTGTTTCTCTCTCCCAGTTCTGCCATCTCTTCATATAAGCCTGTCCAGTATATGGCTTTCTGCTTACCCCTGTATCTTTTATCTTAGATGTCCTGTGAATGTCAAATTTTCCAAACCCTCTTTCCTCATTATGCACCCCAGAAATTTCATCCCTCACTTGCTAATTCTAAGTGACTTTTTTGTTTCTATTTTCTTTAAAACATCCTCATTACTCACATGATCTGTCTATTTATTCTCAGTATCCTTCTGTAGAATGATATTTAATCTCTTCTTCATCTGTGAGAAAATTGTACAGCGTTCGCTGCCATATAGAAGAATCGATTTCAAATAGAAGTTCAGCACACCTTTCTAAGTTTCTTTAAACATTTTCCTGTTACTTAATACCTTGTTAGAAGGCATCTTTTGCTATTCCAATGCACCTTTAGACCTTGGTGTCATATTTTCCATCCTTTGTTAAAACACTTTCCAGATATTTACTATTAAATACATCTTCAAATATTAGTCATGCTATATGTTAGAAGACTTTACTCACAACCTCCATACGTTTTTGTTAAAATATATTATTAAATGCAATGTCATTAATAGTAGGTGTTGTTCTTTTATACTATAATTAAATAGTTATTAACTTATTCACAATCAAGTAGATAAGGGGGTGCTGAAAAGTTATTGACTTGGCCCATTTTCCAAAATCTAATCCAATAACCAAACTTTAATGTTTTTTGGAAGGGCTTTTTTGTCAAGCTGAGAACTTTTCAGCACCTTGTATATTTAATGTCTTGAATTTTTCTCATAGAAATTGATGAAAATAAAAAGTTTTCACTGTGCATTTCAAAAAATTGTATTTGCCCACAAATCAGCTCCATAGAATACTTAATAACTGTAATATCTTCTTATAATTCCAATACCTTAGGAATAATGGACTATTTCATTTTTATTCTGTGGAAAGATGGAAAACATATATCATAAATGCTACTTGGTTTCAGTGAGAAAATGAATGAAAGAAAGGAAGATAGAAATATTTAACATCTCCTGCCAACACCTCATAAAAATGGACTATTCCATTTTGATTGTGTGGAAAGATGGAAAAGACAAATCAGTAATGCTACTTGGTTTCAGAGAAAAAAGAAAGAAAGAAAAAAGAAAGAAAGAAAGAAAGAAAGAAAAGAAGATAGAAAGGTTTAATGGTTCCTGCCAATACCTCATAAATAATGGACAGTTCTGTTTTGATCATGTGGAAAGATGGAAAAGACATATCAGAGATGCTACTTGGTTTCAGTAAGAAAATGAAAGAAAAAAAAGAGAAGGCAAGAAAGAAATGCCCTGCCAGTGCCTCATACATACTGGACTGTTTTTTGTTTTGATCACATGAAAAAATACAAAAGACATATCAGTGACACTATTTGGTTTCAGGGAGAAAATGAAAGAAAAAAAATAGAAAGAAGGGAAGAAAGAAATGCCCTACAAATATCTCATACATATTGAACTGTTTTGTTTTGATTGAAAGGAAAGACGGAAAAAGCATATCAGAGATGCTATTTTGATTTTAGTGAGAAAAATGGAAGAAGACGAAATTCAAGCAGGAAAGCCATGACATTTCCATATGTATTACTAGTCTACATAAATGTGATAAAATATGTTAGATATAAATGAAATATCTGTCTATATTTCTGAGATGAGGCATTGTAATTATTTACATTGTTTGGACTGTTGTCCTCATCTTTGTTGCCATATTCACATCTGACTACATTACTGTTGTACATTACGGCCTTCTTCAGGTGACTGGAATTTCAAACTGAACCCTTTATTTTGTCCACTGGGGTAGATTGTTCTAGTTCTACTCACCATGCTTCTTCCAGATGTCTCAGTTATCTCCCTTTAACTCAACTTTTCAAGTTTTTGTTCATCACTGCAGTTGCCAAGTATTGAACCCACAACTATTTGTGTCACATCACTGGATCCAACCAATGCTTTTATTCACTGGACCATGGGTTCTTGAAAACCTGGCTAATGCAGTGGTGAACAAAAACTGGAAGAGCTGAGTTAAAGGAAAATAACTGAGACAGCTAGAAGAGGTATGTCATGTGGAACTAGAACAATCTATCCTGGTGGATGAAGAAAAGGGTTCAGTTTGAAATTCCAATCAGCTGAAGAA